GAGGTTCAGGTAACGAACGTTACATCCATTATCATTGTCAAATTATCCCGTAATAGGGCAGATTCCTGACGTAAGCATTTAGCAGATCGCCATTTAAGACCAATCGGCAGAACGCAAGATCTTTAAGTGTCAAGAGGGGAGCAACGAAATTTGTTTTGGTGTGGATTAAAACCAGCAAAGTAGACTAAAAGAAACAAGGATGCCAGCAAGCCCACCTGAAGCAAACGACTAATTTCTTATGGAGGAAACGTTGAATGATCGGAATCAATACAGGAATAAAAATACTCACTTTGTCGCTACGGAATTTAACAGCGTCAGTTCTCCAGTTGTTCCGGGAAGGTTGCTCATATAAGCGGGGACTTCGAGGCATCCTGAGTCGGATCTATCCAGAACCGCGTCGAAGACGGGAAACCACAAAATCCAAAAGCGGAGTATTCGTGGGCCAAATTCGTGACTACGTAGAGTTTCCCTGAGTCGACATAATCGATCACTTGCTGTCGCAAAAATATCCCTTCCAGACGTGTCACGCAACAGCGTTCTGACAACGCCAACCACAAGGAGATCCAGTTCGTTCACCTGCGTGTAAGCGGTAGCATCTGACAAAAACAATAATTCGAATAGATTCAGCAAATGTACCACAATCTCCTGAGAAATTGATTCGGAAAAACCGTCGGCTGCAAAAAGAATGGCATCGAGCAAAAATCCAAGGAAACGGTCGATAGCTTCGACGGGTTGAACGGGCTTCTGAAGAACGGTCTGAAGCTGTAGATTAAGGTGCGCCAACAAGTTCGGAACGATCTGACGGGCCTGCAGAATAAAGCATGACGATAACTCAATGAGTAGAGCGATAAATATCAATAATATTGTAATCATAGTTGTAGGCCGGAAAAAACAGCCACGCACAGATTCTTGTAACTCTTGAGCGTGTATAGCGATGGTTAGCCTCGTTTGGTTTGGTATACGTTTAGCTTGTGAACTTCACCGGGTGTACACGCTCTCCGTCTCTCTATAGGACCCATGGTTAACGAATACTTTGTAACTAATCGCGGTCAACATTTTTAAAACGCCGTAGCCAGACTCAGCTTAGGCTTAAAATATCAGTTCACTTAGAGATTAGACCGCATACCACGGAGTCATGTTGCTGTTCGTTTTGCAACTTTGCCTTCAAACCTGAGATAGCTCAGTGGTTAAGGCACGAATCTACTGACCAGAAAGTTCGTGCTTGGAACCCCACCCCCATAGCTCCTGCCTAGAAATGGGCGACTTGGGGGCCGTCGTGCTCCCCTCAGATGGCAGGGGGACTGGGCACCGAAAGGATGTCACAACTGGCCTTTGACCAGCCTGGTAGCAGCAGGAGGTTGTGAACTAGTACAGATATTTAGTATACGACATTGGTACCAATGCAAATGGTGTTGGGGGAATGGAACACTGGAACAATTATGAAGTCGCAAAGCACGGTGCTTATTAATCCAAAACAAAGGAAAGAAGTACTGAACTCGAGTCTCGCTCTTATTACCTTTGACGGTGATGGGTTGTAGGCTCCAGTCATGTGACAAACGAGGCGAGCGCGTAAACAGTACCCCACATTGGTTAATACATCCGAACAGACATACGTGTTGACATGGGACGAGATGGCTCCAGTGGTTAGAGCGCGAATTTACTGACCGGAAGGTCCGTGGTTCGAACCCGACCTCTGCCTCTCGACTTCCCCTGTCTAGGCTTGGGCAACCTGAAAGTATCCCAGCCCTCGAGCTTCCTTCGGGTGGTATGGCAGCTAGGCACCGAAAGGGCGCTACAGTTGAACGATTATTTTCGTTATTATTAAGTGTTGCCATTGGAGAGATGGAAACCGGTTTATCCAACGTCTGGAAAGACGATCCAACAACTATCCTGGTTGTATCGATTGATTGAGTCGTCCTCCAGGAGTTTCCACTAAGGACAATTTTGATTGGTTAGTTTTAGGTAGTTGTGGGACTTGTAAAATTCTCCTTCACATTACTTTTGCCTGAACAGTCCTCCTTCTGTCCTGGCACACCTCTGGTGTGGACTCACCAGAACAATGACAGGGGGACAGCACTGTTTGTTTGATTACTTGTGAGTAGTTGCGGGGTTAGTAGTCTTCATCTCGTCCTGGTGGATCAGAAGAGAAAGGACTGTAAGACATTTAGTCGAATAGGACAAGACTTATTGCCCGTTCGGTGGCGGCTACTTTATGGAGCATAGCAACCCGAAGGAAGCCCAAGGGCTGAGATGACACCAGCTTGCTCATGGGATAAAATCCGATAGTTGACGGAGGTGTGGCTACCTCACAGGTAGTCCATATTTCACCAACTCTAATTTCAATGTGTGGGTGGAATAAGTGAATATGCTAAAAAAACGAAGCTCTTATGATCCGTCAGATCGGGTCGGGCTACACCCTTCTTAATGTATTGAGTTTATCGATTTCCTGGTCTACAATCGGATAGCTCGTTCTTCGCTTGACTCAATGGTAAAAAGTACTTCCACATCCGAAACAAAAACAATAATTTCTGAATCATCCTCACCAGTTTCACCAACAGTCGCATTGTTACGAGTAGAGGATGTTTCGGATCAACCAAACCTTCTAATCGTTCTTCCGTTTGTGAAGCGGATCGCGCGGAGGGTTTGGAAGTCTCTTCGCTCATGGGAAAAATAGGATCAAAACAGATCGGGTCTTCATCTGCTTCCGCTTCCATGGTTTTCAGATGGAACAGCAAACATGTGTCTTTTAGTTGTTGCTGAGATGAAAGTCCTCGCAGTAGTACAGATTCCAAGAGTGAAGGTACCATTTTTGTGATTGGGATGTCTGTCTCAGTTGGTTTCATTTCAACACTTGCTGCAGCGATTGGAACGGTCAGACAATAGGAAACCTTTTCCAACAGCTGGAAAGGAAAATAAACACTAGACGATAACGTGGAGTCAAGCGAAATGGAGTCGATGTACTGTGCGAGGATATGGTGGTGGTAGATAGATAAGAACCCAAAATTGCCCGTCAAAAGCAGTTGGATAAGCTCGAGCAGTAGCTTACCTGATGAACTGCAGGTTGGGATGCAAGACAACGGCGGCTCATTGGCAGTAGAATGAGTTCGGTCAGGAAACAAACCGGTCGCGTCAACAGGAGTAGTTCACAGTCCAAAACAAACTGATGGAGGAAGAAGAAGAAACACAGGGGATACAATCAGTCCAATCCGGTGAAAATGGAGCAGTGCAGTTTTTTTAAGCATTGTGCTTTTCGATTCCAACCACGGAGGAAGATCAAAATGGGATTGTTGAATTTTACAGACACCAGTAGACCATCTAAGGACCATTGTACAAAGGGCCCCTTGGAACTTAGAACCAAGGATGGTACTTATCGTTCAGCTGTAACACCTTTTCAGTGCCAAACTGTGATGCCACCACGAGGACTTGGATACTGCCAGGTTGCCAAAGCCTGGACATGGCAAGTCGAGAGGAAGGGTTCGCGTTTGAACCGCGGACCTTCCAGTCAGTAGATTCGCGCCCTAACCACTGAGCTATTTCGCCCTAAAGATGGTATTTAATGGATGCTCTGGCAAGGTCCACTTGTAATATGAAGCGAAATGAGCTCAGTTCAACCTCACCGAAACATGACAACACATGCTAAATAACGGTCATCTGAGGACTGTTCAATCTTCGAGACAACAGTAGTGTGCGATTACTCAAAACTTCCCAACGCAATTGATTATTTTCCGCAGAGGGGACCAATGTTGGGTATCTTGGCATAGCAAAACAGCGCAGTCAAGAGGCTACAAATGCACATGTTTTTGTTCATTGCCAGGCTTAGAGCACAATTAAAAACTATGAATGCATCAAGGTATCATTGAGCGAAGGCTCATTTACTCAAGAGGAAGGGCCTATGTGAGAAAAAACGTCTCGTTCAGAAACTAGAAGAAACGGCCGAACGGTGGTGTGTCCAACTTGAGGGGAAATCTAAGCAACCTTTCAAAACACAATGATTGTTGGTTGTTGGTATTGTACTCGTTCGATGATTCCATTTGTTTGTAAGGCTCATGTGTAGACTGATGGCGACTGGGGGGAAACCCTTATGCCCCTGACAGATCCCAGCCGCGTTCTGCACTGACGTTTTTGTTAAAAAAATACCCCGAAGGTTGAAACAGTGTAAGGGCTCCCACGACAGGTTTATGGTTTGAACCCAAACCTTATTACTCGATCGCTCTGTTCGGGGGCCAGCCGTCTCTAATAACCGAGCAGCACATAACTTGGACAGATGCGTCACGTGCAGGACACGGGCCGAACGAAGGCACGCCCTGATTGGTCAGAATGCCATCCAATCCGAGTCAAGCACCTTTGACTCGACGCTTCTCGCCCCCTCACGGAGATTCTGGCACAACCTTGTGGAACACACTGTGACTACCCTATAAATACAGTTGTACTAATTTTCCATTGTCTTCATAAAGGAGCTGTGTAGAGCTACCGTGCCTTTTGATATAACATAGTGGGCGGAGCAGGAAGCCAAGGGACCGATACAGAGTTGCACTACCGTAACGAAAGTTACAACACGCTCCCTTCAAGCTTGGACAATATGGCAATATCTCAGCCTCACGATTCCTTCGGTATTCAATGACAGGAAGGGTTCTACATCTAGACGATCATTTAATTTTGTTCTATTGATTGAACGTTACTAGCGTTTCGTTCTAGCGTTCCATAACGCGGTAGGAAATATACGGATGCTTAGACTCGAAAACGGCTCTCACCTCAATGGAACAGCTTCCCCTGTAGGGAAGCGAGACAAGGATACTGACGCAAATACGAACTGTACCTTGCTAGGGTTGTGTTGTGATGGCGCAACCTGTGTACAGTTGTTCTGCCAAGTATTCTGCATCAAAACACGTTGGTGCGTTGAGGCAGCCTGTGACCGGACATTGTAGGGTTACTGTAACCCTACCTATTGGATAGTAACGAAATTCTCTGTAAGATCAAGCCAGTGTCCGGTGCATGGTATGCATACAAACGAAAGTAAAAACAGGAGTGCTGAGATTCCACCAAATTAGCAAAAAACTACAAAAGGTCAAGGAATGGCCTTCCGGTCAGTCGTTGGCGCTTTATCGCGAGTTGCACTAGACTTACAGTACTCAGATGACGTCTGTGGACGGATTGCTGTGTTTTACAAAATCAATATGGACGTGACGATTCGACGTTAGTTTCCGTAGTCATTTGGGGGCGAGATGGCCCGAGTGGTTAGAGCGCGAAGTTACTGACCGGAAGGTCCGTGGTTCGAACCCAACCTCTGCCTCTCGACTTTCCCTGTCTAGGCTTGGGCAACCTAGCAGTATCTCAGCTCTCGTGCTTCCTTCGGGTGGCATGATGGTTAGGCACCGAAAGGGTGATACAGCTGAACGCTTTCTTTCTAGACATTCGGACACTTAGGCTTAGGCAAATTAGACCGACAGCAATCGCGCACTTTTCTTGTAATTCTGAAGTCCTCCAGTACATGTTTCGGCCGATCACAACCAAAATCAGCCCATGAACGTGCCCAGTTGACACCGTTGACGAAATCACAGACCTAGCAGCAACTTGGCTTCTGAGGCCTCCCTGCTGGAAGTTCGCACATCATGTTTCCACAGCCAAACACCAAGGAAACATGCATTTATTGATTTTCCTTGGTATTCTTTTCTGCTGAAATAAAAATTCCGTGGCCTTTCGAAAGTTTCACAGGTTAATATTCCATATTGTTCAGTTTCACATCACTCTCGTTTTGAACAGTCGTCCCCCTGTCCTGGCGTAATTATTCAGGTGAATCCACACCACAGGGGGTGAAGCACTGGACTCGCTCTTGTTAGAGCTCATCAGCAGTGTATATGCAATGACTGTGCCGGGGTTTGAACTCCGGATACCTGACGTGCGAGGCGAACGTGTTACCACTATTCCACCAGCGCACGTTGGACGTATCTGAATTCTCACGTCTGAACGGGCGAACATCATCGATATGACGACCCGGTAACTGTCCTGGTTGTGAAGAGCGATTGGCCGGCTTGTCAAGACTTCCCAGTCAGGTAGCGCCACAGACGCTTGAAACCGGCAGGACAGGAGGACGACTGTTCAAAACTAAACAAACCCCCACATGCATTAATATTCCATACCTTAGGTTTGCGAGCGCCATCAATACACATCGAAGAAGGGACAACAGTATTACGAATTGAAAGAACATACGCTAACAAGTAGACCTTGCGTGCTTTGTGTTGTGACGGCCGGTAGTTTATCATAAAATGTCCCTATAAAATCCTTTAGGTGACCAGATAAAAATCGAAGTAAAAAAAGATATCTCGTCCATGGCCGCTGCTCAAATTTGGCCACGAATCTCGAGGACTTGTATAACCGTCATGACACTATGCCTTGACACCGAGATTTCTTCAATTTCTATTAGTACCGCCAGAGAAAGAAATCAAACCATCTCGAGAAGTTTGCCGAGACTTTCTTAAAAATTCACCAACACCCTAAATATGATGCGACTTTAGCGGATGATCAACCAACGGAGGCCAAATCATTGCAACCGCTATGCACCTGTTCGATGGGGATCACGGGTTCTGGAGTGCAGCTTCAAAAGAACAACGAACCAAGCGCATTTGGACACAGTGACGAGGGAAATCAACTCAAAAGGTGACTCCTTCGGAACCACAGAGACGACGAGGATAGATCATTATGCAAGAACCGTAGAAATATTATCCAGGCAAACCCGATTCCGAATAGGTCAGCGCAAACAAATAGAATTTGGTGGTCATTGATCATGGGCTGTCGACCTGTTCACCGAGCTTGGCAACTGACTTTCGTCACCACACGAGGGGACATCATCAAAGTGCAGTTGGATGGGTACCTCCTATTTGCCTGTCTGCGTGCGTTGATATAGCATTTCAAGGCACTGCGTACTGATGATGTCCCCTGGTATGGTGACAGAACGTCTGCAAATAAATTGCCAATCTCGGCGAACAAATCAACAGCCACCTGATCAACAACCAATAAACTCACCCGCGCTATCAATACTTCATTACCAACATTACTAACAAATAGAATTTGCATTCAGAGTATGGAATTTCGGTAAAGCACAGTACACAAAAGTAGACCGGTTAAAGAGAAATACACAATTATCAAATTTCGTAGAACAATCACTAACCTCAATATTAACTGACTGTGAATATGATTCGTAACTGTGGGGTTCTGAAGCCCCGGAAGACACAGTGTTAGCAGTTCCAGAATCTTGGACAACCAGGCGATTAAACAGTTTGCGAGTCTGCGCCTCCCAATGGTTGTTTGATTTTGGCAGTGGAGTCGCACCGGACGAATTTGACGGACTGTGTAAGTCTTGAAGTAACCGGGATTTCGATTTGACCGTGAGATGCTTCAGAACTAGTCTCAATAACTGAAAGTGGAAAGAAAGATCTGGAAGTTAGCGGATCTGAGTTGGCAACGTTCATGAGTTCACTTGAGTAGCTCGATTAACTTTGCTGCGTGGGTTCAGCGTGACTACTTCGGTCGACGCCGTTGTCCGGCGATTCATAAAACTATTTTAGAAATTCTTAATATCTGATGAATCATTCGTCGCGGCAATGTGTACCACACGTAATCATAAGAAATCACCCAAGAAGGGCGAAACCGGTCGTGGGCTGTCAAGGCGTTTTCAGCAACCTTATGAGTAGTGCATTGCAAGAATATATATGTAATCACAAGTCATTTGGGAAAACAATCAACATCACCGATTTCCGGGTTTCCCCTTGGTCTTGCCGGATAACGACATGAGAAGAGATACAACAGGTGGGGTGGTGGGTATGGGGTGTGTGTGGCTTATAAACTGGCGATCTGACATGCAATGGCAAATTTACATGAATAAATCCAAATGGCAGAATAGAAAAATAACACGCTGGATTGGTTTACCTTCAGGTAATCATGCTCCGGTAATGTGACCTTCCGAACCCGATCCATTCGCTGAATCAGTGCAAGACAGAACGAACTATCATCACCCGCCAGTAGAGCAGCGTGTGGGCGTAGACGAGAAAGAACACTGCAAGTACAGGGGATGAAAAAGGTCTCAGGGGTGAACAAAAACCCATCTTACGGAGAAATACTCCCCTAACAGAAATGCTCGAAAGAAGGCCTCACAAACTAACATAAACAGGTGAAAGCGTAGAACTTCCTAGAAGAGTTAGGTAGGTAGAGTAGGTATAACTGCTGTCTGTTGAAATTTTCGCCACGTTTAGCTAAAGAACAAATTTCAAAACAGTGCATTTTAGTCACTCACTGCGTATTGGTTAGCAAACACACGGAAAATAGTTGGAATAGCGTGCAGGTAATCTCAGATCAGTGTACTAAAAACCAAAAATGTTTACACCGCTCCTGATAATCTCTAACCAATACCATGAAGATTCTGTACTGGCTTGTGAATGAGCAAGCCCACCAGAATTCATGTCTCATCATCGTACATCGGTGGCGAAAACTGCACCATCGATTACTGTCCTAATGTACTTGGTGTCGGACACAGCCCAAGTGCTGTTTGCAACTTGTCTGGTAAATCACTCGGCCATAAACCGTGCTACATTCAACGAGGGTAATGAGAACAAGGGAATGAGAGTCACGCACGCTAGGGACGATGATACAATGACGTCAAACGGTTCCGTTTTAGCTGACGAAAGGGAGGCCATTGGTTGAGTGGCCGAATCATATCTGTCGGGGTCATCAACTATGGGTTAATCTCGTCTAGGGGGTCCACAACTGCTCACGTGACTGAGTTAATTGGCAAGATTCTTTATGCTTTGTTGGCGAGTTATGAACCGACCGACCACGTTTTTACCGAAATACACCTGTAGTTTCGTGTTCAAGCATACAAAAAAAGACTTATGGACATTGTTCTGGCACGAAATGCAAACAATCATCGCGATTGTTGTTTACTGTCAAACAAAGATTCACACATGAGGATCTCCAATCCGATAGATAAGGTGTTGACTGCACCACCACACCGACAAACGGATCTGCAAACTTTCAAGACTGGATCGTTCGATCGCTCCAGAATGATCTGGTTATCAATAATATAAATGGTCTGAGCTCATGCGTATGATGAAACCTCTGAAGTTGGAGACCCAACGGACTTCCTCGTGGTCGACTGCTCATTGGTGTTCTTTCACATAATCTGAGGCACACAAACCTTGAAAATTATCCTACACTACTCGACTGCGGAGCAAAAGCAACTACAATGATTTTGTCTTGTAAGTGAAGCCAATCAGTGCGGCTGTACGGCTGTTTCATCCTCATTGGGAATCATTGTCAATCGGCATCCCAGGAAACTCTAAAGAGCTCCCAACCGGCGACTCACTGATGGTTCAAGTTTTCATGGAGAATGGGGGCCGAAAATATGCGGGTTCACCTTGCCGCAATTTTGACGGTAGGACATCCCAAGTTATGTTCCAAGCACACGAAACCTATTTGAATATTTTCGTAATAACCATTAGAAAAGCTGAGAATCACTGATTCAATAGTACATCAAGAAAGAACTGTTATGGCCGAAAGCCACAATCAAAACGAGTTTGAGTGCCGAAGTAATGCTGTGGGACTACAATAGCTAAAAACTGATACCTCAAGAAAGGTGAAACGAGTAGGGGGCGGATAAAGAACAACCAGACACATGCTACGTGCATCCGTACTACCCTTCACGACAGAAGGCCAGCTGATTCCTGAGAGGCAGTGATACTGCCTTCCAGTGAAGATCGATCACCCAAGTGTCGGCAAATAACTCACTGCGGTTGAGAAACAACTTAACCTTGAAGAGCCCTATACTGCAAGAAATGCAGTTGATTTGTCCAGCGACATCTGTGTTAGATTTTCCACCTGAACAACAGAGCCTCAGGTTTAGGTCAGCCCATCAGAGTCGACCGAGTTGCAGTATAGAATCAAAAGCCGCTAGAATAGAATTTTGCACTAGTACACTGAACAGCTAAACGAAGTTGTAATACTAATCACAATCGCTCCGCCACAACATCCTTTCCGAACTTAACTGATATGCGCTCCGCCACAACATCCTTTCCGAACTTAGCTGATATTCCTTTCAGGTCGCTCAAGCAGGAGCAGCCGAGACGCCGCGGCAGGGTTCGAACCTGGGGACTTCCGGTTCAACCACTGACAGAATATGCCGTCCTAAATCCGTCTGGACAAGTGGGAAGTACCGTTAATCCCAATCTCCGACCAATCGCTATCCTTCGCTCCAAAATCATTGTAAAATCAGGTGGGACGATCGATAAAGTTGGAGGTAGGTTGCCACAGAAATCATTATCAGGGAATTGATAACTCAAAGTGCAAGGCTTACCATTGTGCCAAATGAACATCTTTGATGTCACTGTTCGAAACAAACCACAGCGCGTAATCTACAAGTGCACAAAAGTGAAGGTTTTGGTAATCTCGTCTGGCCATAATTACTGGATAAGCCGCAACTCACAATAAGTTGTTTGTGTATACTCCTCAAAGGTGCAAACTTTAAAAGCAAGTAACCCGTGTTGGAAGCAGTTATTCCCAATATATATTTTCCCCATAATAGTGTCTATCACTTTACTGCTTGGATAATGATGTCAACATTCTCGGTGATAGTTACCGATGAAAAGGATAAAAAGGGCTTTGATGAGGTCAGATTATGCCATGAAAACTTTGTTGCTTAGGCCTGAACTGCTTCAGATAGGCTTGACAGATGAACATCGGTGAGGATGGTCGAATTCGTCGGTGATATGTGGGGTTTGTGCCGTTCCAAGACTTTTCCCTGAAAGACACATCGTTCAGCTGTAACACCCTTTCGGTGCCTAACTGCCATCCCACCCAAAGGTGGCACGAGGGCTGGGATACTGCTATGTTGACCAAGCCTAGACAGGGGTAGTCAAGAGGCAGAGGTCCGGTTCGAATCACGGACCTTCCGGTCAGTAAATTCGCGCCCTAACCACTTGAGCCATCTAGCCCGTGATTATAGAAGTAGGAAGGCTTTCTTTGCCAGAGCTCAAGGAGTCTTGAAAACGGCATACTTAGGTAACCCTGTATAACCCGGCTTTCAAGCCGATATGGATGACAGTGAGCATCAGTAAGCCATTCGAAACCCTTAAGCAATATCAGAGGCCCGATACGGCCTTCTGTACGCAGCAGCAGCAACACGAAGACCTCCTCAAGACCTCCAGCGAAAGGAATCTAAACCCGCAAGTGAGCCCTTTACGATCGCTATCTATAGTAAAGAGCTGGAGGGTATATTTGGAATGTACTACTCATAAGGTTGCTGAAAATCCGTCGACAGCCCACAACCGGTTTCGCGCTGTTTGGGACTCATCAGGTAGGCGCAGTCCCCAGGTTTCCGTCAACCTTATGTTCTACTTGAAACCAAACTGCACGAAATTAGCGAATATACACTCATTTGCAAACTAATTTGGTTTTTCGAGAGACCCACCTGGAACCCAGCTGAATCTCTCGTTTGTGATGTTTTCAGGCAACTGAACGTGCAGCACCAGGCCGCCTCACTTTTCAGTCGCTACGCTGGAGGAGTGACCCAAAACAACAAGGAAGCAGCAATAATGGATCCTCATCCGCCCGTCCAACTAGGAAATTCTGGGACGTACAGCCATTATCTGCTGTGAAAAACAGGGCTCACTACAACATAAGGCAAAATAAACCCAACAGGAATGTGCAAAACTTCAAACTTTCAACTCCATACCCTTGTCAACGCACGGCGTGTCTACGAGAGTAGTCTAAAAGATCAGTTGGTCATGCATTCCAAACAGTCAAATTTCTTTATGTTTTGCTCCCGGGCTGTTTGGTACATCCACTCGATTTGTATGCTTCTGTTGAACGTTAAACATCAACACAGTTACCCTTGCCATGTTATTTGATCGTCAACTGCAAACCAGACGACAGCTGAGACGGACGATGGGACAAACAGCTATTGGTGAACTACTCATAAGGTTGCTGAAAACTCCTCGCAGCCCACGACCGGTTTTCGCTCTTCTTGGGGCTCACCAGGTAGTCGCAGTCCCCGAGTTTCCGTCAACCTTATGTTCTACTTGAAACCAAATTGCACGAAATTAACGAATATACATTCATTGGCATCGCGATATCTCGAATATCGTAGCGACTGAAACATGAGGCGGCCTGGTGCAGCACATTCAGTTGCCTGGAAACATCACGAACGAGAGATTCAGCTGGGTTCTAGATGAGTCTCTCGAAAAACCAAATTAGCTTACAAATGAGTTTATACTAGATATTGGTTCTCAATTCAAAATCGTAATCTTTTACGATAGCAGGTTGCTTTCGTCCGTGCTAGTTTCCTGGTACGTTTATCAATTCTCCCTCCTTCATGATCACACCGGCCAACAGAAGGTCACTCAAGAATCTTCAGAAGTCCCAGCCAAAGATACAATGACCGATTTAAATACTGTTGGGGTGAATCGATAGGGCGATCATGCAAGTGATGCGAATCAAACAATATCCCACGACAGACCCACGGAATCATCCACGCTCTTCACTAGCATTCAATTCCCACTGAACGGGATCGAGATGGCTATAGATAGAGCGAAAATTTACTGACCGGAAGGTCCATAGTTAGAACGTGAACTCTGTGTGTCAACTTCCCCTGCCTAAGCTTGGGCAAACTAGCAGTACGCCAGTCCTCATGCTTTCTTCTGGTGACACGACAGTCAGCAGAAGAGCGCTACAGCTGAAGGATTATTATTTATCCTTGCGAACGGGATCGAATGATTTGCGTCAGCAGGTGATAGACCCTATCACAAATCAACTTCAGTCATAAATATACGACGCACCAACTGATTATGCTATCAAACTCATGATATCAACTCATCGAGAGTCCTTAATGATACTTCCCGGCCGTTTCGCCCAGGGACCTTTATAAATTGCCCCACCATAATTTCTGTAGGTATACGGATGACGTTCTTACGGCAACTTGTACAATACTGCCTCAAGGAGGCCACGAGCTCACTTTGGGGTCATAGACATTTGAAGTATTGAACATTCGCTGTGATGGTACACCCTACAGGATGGGGATAAACAGTACAAGTTTGCCAGTTCAACATCTTCAGAATGCTGGACAAGAGTCAGCTGTTGCTGATGCCAGAGATGTAAAACACTGTGTTGTCCCGTTTAAATAGTTCAAGCTCATGTCTGCTCAAGGCCACCAGTGTTAGTATTCAGTGTCACAATGTCTTGATGTATGCATAAGTGTCCCACTAACGGTTTAGTGAGGTATTTTGGGAATAGTGTCTAGCGAAAGAGATATCGTTTGAAGCTGGATGAAGCCTTCTTACCTTTAACGCCAAGACCATGTTCAATACACCAACAGATCAAGCTCCGATGTGGTTCAAATGAAGCGGGGACATTATCCCCAGATGCTGGATGAGTGGGGCACGAGGGTGAAGAGCTCAGAAGCGATGTAAACAAGTGTTTCGGGGCAGCGGCATGCACAATACAGCTGAGCTTGGAAGGTAGTCCTGATGAGGTTGAGTTCGACAAACCTACGGCTAGAGAGCGGCAGGCACGCGTAACGTAATAATCACGGGCTGTATTGAACCGGTCAAGAAAGAGGGGACTGACAGAACTCGGGCATAGAGGTAGATCCGGTCGTTGGCGTAGACTGGCAACTAGTCCACAGCTGGAGAAGTCGAAAAAAACAACATACAAGGTGAGAATCTACCGGGCCACGAATGACCGACTATGCTGCATGCATAGCGGGTTGATCGTATTTGGGGTGCGCTATTGTAATGCGTCAAGTGAATGAAAAGTGGTTTGGAACGGTTTCGAAAGGAACGGAAATGATGCTCGTGGGATCAGCTGGTAGTGATGGACCCCTGGAGGTGGCGTCCTGCGGTTACGCAACTCGATAGAACAACAAGCAGGCGATTTAACTTAAAAATGTCATATCAACTCTAGCATCCGACGCTTCTTTAAAGGGTACACATGACTGTGTAGACGTTAGTGATGCACGGTGGGACCTGTCTCAAAGACCACCCTTTTGTAGTGACTACTTCTGATATTGGTGAACACTGGAGGATCTTCAAAACTGTGCTCAAACTGTTTTTGGAGTACGCAAATGACATCGCCCTTATCTTTGTAGACCAAAGCGAAGCACAAGCCCTGTTGACTAAACTGACCGCCATCATACCATCATTTGGCATGTGCCTTGCACCTTCGAAGTGCAAAGTCATGCTTCAGAACGTGCCATCTGCGAACATATCCCTTACAATACAAGAAAAATCACTGGAGATTGTGGAAAACTTTACATACCTCGGCAGTTGTATTAGCTCTGACGGAAGTGTGTCTGATGAAATCAGCATAAGAATCTCAAAGGCCCGAACCGCGTTTGCTAATTCGCGTCACTTGTGGTGTCAAAAAGGCATCTCACTAGATCTTAAGGGTCGTGTGTACCAGGCTACAGTAAGGGCTGCGTAGTTGTATGGGTGCAAGATGTGGCCTTTGCGGGTAGATGATGTGAGGCGTCTTCAGGTTTTCGACCACCGATGCTTCAGAAGCGTGGCTGGTTGTGGATGGCATCAGAGTGTCAGTAACGAGGTGATTAGAAAACGGGTATGTGGTTGTGTTTAAGGCACCTCAATCCGGGAAAACATCCAGCATCATCGACTGCGATGGCTCGATCATGTGCTACGCACGCCGAAATACCGTCTACCGAGACTAGTGTTGTTCTCCGAGCCTCCTTCAGGATGGCGCAAACCGCGAGGTGGACAACACATGACTTGGTAGAAAGGCGTGAAAGAGATCACGAAGAGTTTGGGTGTTGTTGGTGTAGTCCGCCTTCCACGATGGGGTCCACGTAACCACCTCTGTGCTCTCACACGCTCTCCTACGTTAGATTGTTAACAAATGGGGAATATAGCTAAATCGTCACGTAGTAAACCCAGNATATATATATATATAGATGAACCTTATGATTATACAGCAGTGAAGCATCAGTGCCAACACTGATGTTGCTGTCTTTGATGATGAAGATGACGATGATGATGGATACACCTCCCCCAAAATTAAAAAACGACCGTCATGTTTGGTTTGATCTACGGATAAGTGGATAGCTAACTTAACCCTAGGACAGGTGTCAGGAAAGAAGTAGTCGCTGTATGAGGGAAAAGATGGAATTCTGGAGTGACCAGATTTTGAAATTCAAAGCAACAAAGAGCGGCCGCGAGTACTTTGAATTAAATGGTAAAAAAAAACACATAATACACATAAAAGTTACATAAAGCTCATTTTAAAAAACCGAGCGTGCCGTCTCTTCATACGGGGTCGACGTTGCAGCAGGACTGATCATGACGTGAGCAAGTTTAAACTAGTTCATGCTGTTATGGATCAACGAAACTACGAAACAAGACTTGGGCGATTCAGTACAATTAGAGATAATATCACGAGTCAAGGCAGATGCATAAAACCTGTTCTCCCGAAACAAGATTTTTTTCGTGTATGAAGGAAAATCTTATCACGAGTGATCCGATTATTGATCAGTTTGATAAAATCCGCTGACTGAGCGTTGTACGGGACGCCTGGTTAGGTGGGATCGTTGTCCAATGACACCAAGTTCACATACCTGAGTTCACTGCTTGACTTCAGCCTCAATTGAGTTTCAGTGAGTTTAATAGTTAGGACGCGAACTTACTGACTAGGAAGTTAGTGGTTCGAATCCATAGGCGGTATCTCGACTGGGTCTTGGCAACTTGGCAGTATCTCTGCCCTCGTGCTTCCTACGATTGACATGGCAGCTAGAAAAACAAACATTGTTACATCTGAACGACTGACATTAGTATTTAACCTCAAACCAACCAAACGACGCCCCGTGAAGATAGCCATCGGTTTGGGCCCCGTTTTCGTGCTTTTTCTCAATTTAGTTAGTCCGCCTTGGATAACAAAAACGTTAACCAATAAGTCTCGTTATGGTGACGTTGTGTTATTCTATCCAAAATGAATAAGAATCCTCATCAATGACGGTCACCGAATGGAATCGACCAATCGATAAGTGTGTAGTGACACATAAGACTGCTCCGTGAATATTACTGGTTGAAGGAGCTTGATGTCGTTACAACTGTAATGCCTAAAAAAAGCAAATAAAAATACCCGTTCTACTATAACACCCTTCCGGTGTACAGCCGCCATACTGTACGAAGAAAGCACGGGGGCTAAGATACGGGTTGTCCAAGCCTAGTAGACAGGAGCGGTTAAGATGCCGGAGTTGGGTTCGAACCACGAAGCTTCCGGTTAGCAAGTCCACAGGAAAACCCCGATTCCTCATAACGCAAAAGTATGGGCCTTTGAGGTTAGTAGCCATGAGTCGGCGAACACTCATACACACTGGCTTGGCTAGTTAGCTCTTGGTCGTGAAATCCTTCAAACACCGCAAAATAAACGCTCCGGCCAGAAGTGAAACAGTCAACTCACTTCACATGAACGATCACTAATCCATACTGTGGACCTGATAGTTACCAAGCCATGTGTGGTAACTGTGACGCCCCAGTTCAGTTCTGTTTGAACCTTCCAGGCTATCATTCTTTTCAAAAAACCCACCCAAGATGAACAGCGTGTATTAGGCGTCCAAAACCAGGTCAGAAACAAGCACACACAAGTGTATGAGGCGGCAACATTCTGGAAATTCCGGTGATTTCTGGATGCTTGGTAAGCGACAAAACCAGGTCAGAAACAAGCACACACAAGTGTATGAGGCGGCAACATTCTGGAAATTCCGGTGATTTCTGGATGCGCGATTGGTAAGCGAAGTTTGGAAGATACTGAATCACGACTGGTTTACACTTCCGGCCAATCAGTTTGCTTTGATACTGGACCAGCAAGCGGCCCGACCCTCGGGCCAATCACATACGGGTTAATCTCTTCGGCCGTAGCAGCACCTAACTGCGAGTGACAAAGTAGCTTTGGTGCCGCCCGAAGCAAGCACAAGGGTAGAGACACAGTCAGGTTGCCCAAGCCTAGACAGCAACAGTCAAGATGCTGAGATTGAGTTGGAACCATGGACTTTGCGGGCAGGAAGATCGATCGCACTGTAACAAGTAAGCTATCGCGAGCTCGGTAGATTTGTTCAAAGGTAAGTACCTATCATGAGTGTAGTATTAGAACCAGTCTATTCAGCACGTTGAAAAATGCCAGCTCAAATGCGAAGTTATCTCAAAATTGGTTGCTAAAGGATGTGAGGATGCTACCACGTTTGCATGACGTCGATCTTAGTTGAAAACATGAATAAAACTACTGATTTCAGCAATGATCTCAGCCGACAGAACAACAGCTTACTCCAGATTCACTACTTCAAACGTACCTTATAACCCGCTGTAAAAGAGTGGTCATAGTGCCATGAATTGAGTGCAACGCATTCGCGGGGATTCTGAACTCAGGGGTCATCTGATCAGCATGTTTTAGGCAGTTGGAGTAATGTCCGGCCAGTTGGTGCAACGCCGCATTAGCATGGATTCCCAGCATCCGGGAGGCCGGGTCCTCAGCTTGGTTGGCGCAGCTTGATGTGATTTGAAAGAGGAAAAGAATAAAGATGTGTGAGGCACATGAAAACCCGCCTACCGTAGCAAAAACAGTGCGATGGCCTCAAAAAAGCAATAACCAATCAAAACCGATCTCCTGAGAGAGAGGAAATAACAGGGTATGAGCAATTTATTTTTGTGAGGTTGTAAATTCCAAAGAAACGGAGAAAAATGCAAGGTTACTCTGGGATTCGGTTCATTGTCACACCAAGTGTTCAATGAAACTCCATCTTTCATAAGGCCTCCGATAAGCATGAAATTCGAGCAATTTTAGCATACGGAGACTAGTCACGGATAACCTGATCCAACATATGGTTCAACGGGATGCTTTGTTAAATGTTCAAGTGGGTAAATTCCAGTAGAACACACAGCATAATGAATATTGCGGGCTATTCTAGGACTCTGGCGTCTGTGACGCTCCATGCAGCCATTGTGAATAGTCACACGATGCCCGATCGAAAGCTTACAGAACGTCCAGATGAACCGGTTCGGTTTCACCAGATGAGTTTACGGTAGGTGATCAGAAGTGAGAAACACAAGCCGATAGGTCACCGGTAAAGTGGTGGCACCAGTGGACGTTGCACTCGAAATCGCGCAGAAGCTGTTTGGTGAGGATGGACTCCAGAATTTTGGATAAAGTGTGAGTAGCTGAAATGGGACAGTAGTTATTCGCGTCAGGAAGAAATCCACGTTTCAGGATACAGAGTGGGAGTACTATTTTCCCTGGTAGTGAAACACAATTGGATAGGGGCAGGCAGAAGGCGTGAACAACGACGGGAGTGAGTTCCGAAGCGCAAGAACGGAGCAAAAGAAATGGATACCATCCAGACTTTGATGTATCAAGGGAATGAGGAGCTTGCCGAACCACTCTGGCGATAAAAGCAGGTGGGGATAAGCCAGCAAGAGCTGGTGGAAGACTGGGATAGATGACCCGAACTGTCGACTAGGGGAGAAACCTTTGCAATCCAACGGCGAACAGATCAACAACCAAGCAACGCACCCAACCTACCTATATTCCACAGCACCACCACAAGGGAGACTGAGCTAAGGACAAAATGCTAAACAGGAATTTGTGGAAGAGGTCTAATGACTCCGCAAGAATTGGAGACGGGACAACAGGCACGTGAACAGAAGGTACGGCTAACGGTCTTTGCAAGACTCCTGGAGGATCTATTTCCAGCGAGTGCAGTCTTGAGAGTGACGAACATATATTTGGTCTCGTCGACGGTGGTAAAGCAGGAGTTGCGAGGAGCAACGTAGTTAGAAAGTGTGTTTAGACAGGTATACATTGGATTCGTTTTGCGCGCTGAACGGAAAAAGATATGACTAGACCAGTCAAACAAGGATGGCTTATTAGGCTTGTAGGCATTGTAAGTACTATCGTCGCAGCATGACGCCGTAAAGGTGATGTTAGCGGAAGTGGAGACAACCAGGAATAAAGTTACCGAGGATAAGGAAATAACTGGCACTGAGACGGAGAAGTGAGTGCAATGGACGGAGATGAATGAATACAGTTCATTGGAAAATGATCGAACGGACAACTGAGACAAAAGAACCGATAGAGCATAAAACAGAACGGGCGGTTAAGAACAGTTTGAGGGTTTGCTGAGAGTCAAGGTCACGATTGACAAATCAGGTTAGGAAGGAACAAGGAACTGGGAATTTCAGCAAGTTTTTCACAGAATACAAAGAGGCAATTCTAACGAAACGTTAAAGGGATGGTCAAAACAGGCGGACCCGGATGAAATTTACAAAACAGCTTGATTTCGCCAGTGTACTTGAGAAAACATGAAAGTATACGGGAGCACTAAAGCACTATGGAATGCAATTTACCTGGGTAACATGTTCGGGATGCTAGAAGACACTAGCAAAAGTGGTCACTTCCGAGGGAAAGATTGAAGGCGAAGACTTAGATCACGCATGAAACCTGATACTACTTCGTGTCACGCATCTATCGTTTCCACCGTCTTTCAGTTTAGACCGTCCTTGAGATTTAAAATCTATTCACGAATGAGAACGAATATTATCCACAAAATTAGTAACGCGTGAGCCAGCGTAATCCGGAATTGTAACCGCAGTGTGGCAATTAAAGTCCGAAGAAGATGCAAGAGTTTTTGCAAAAGTACTTCGCAACGACGTATTTATATCCAAAGGTGAGCCCAGGAAAACAAGAACCTAAAAATTCTTGAAGAGAATGAGATACGGAATGCAGTCTGCGATCACACTCATTGTAAGCGTAAGGACAGACTAATTCATACATTCACACAGTTCATTGTGCTTTGATTGGTGAACGACAATCTATTAGAAACCAGAAAAATGCTTGAAGTCTATACCTTGCGAAACAACGTACGCGCATATTACCCGGGCGAGCCAATAGTCATATTGAAGGCACGAAGGTGAGATTCTAACCCGGGCCAACAAAATGGTAGCCCACGGTCTCCGCCTTCAGGAAGGACAGTGAGCCCCTATACTGGAAGCAGAGCGTCCAAACAAATCTGATTAAGGTCAACTGCGGACTTTGGTGGTACGCATCACCCCGGTGACAGATAATTCACGACCACCCTGAATCTGGCGGCAGGTAAGTCATTCGAGTGGAGCGGATGAGTTACCAGTCAATTTTGCGAGAAATGTTGGTACATACATGCCTCACAAGGCGGTCTCCCAGCCACAAGTGATGTCTTCGCACGGTCGGTCCGGAAGGAAGGAACTGTACTATGATTATTGTCAGTCAGTTCTCAAATCCCTTGTCAACAAAACAAACTCCAGTCAGTGTTACACACGGTTGCTAGAAGTCTATATCGAAACTACGGACACTTGAGATTAACTTGACACGAGTTGGGGCCACAAATATGACTTCATAAGATGGAGTGAACAGAAAAATCACGTTTATCATTAAGCTTCATTCGAAACGAAGAGGAAATACCTATCAACATTTTCAAGGAACTCCTGGAAGAATTCAACGGTACTTGCAAGAGTTTCACGCAGTGATGCCTCACACCGAATCCGTAGATCGTATAACCCATGAACAACACATACCTGATGGCGTTTGTGTCACAACTTTGCATTCTTTCTTCACAATACGAATAAATCCGTAAGAGATTGACTGTCACCAAGTTTGAGTGTTCAGGATATCGCGCCAGATGAGATAACACGGTTGGAGTGAAGTGAGCGAGTGAATCCAAAAAGTTCGAATCCAACGCAGCAGCCAACAAGCAATAGCTTGTAGGCAAATGGAAACACCGATTCCACCATGATAGTAACACGTAATCAGATAGGTAGGCTGCATCCGTTCGGCTCAGGTCTGTTTTCTTTGTTAGCACGTGTAACAGCAAACCGTTTAGAAACGCAGATAAGGACGGTATATCCCTCGGATCAATAGGCGTCAGAATGTCATGCTGTAAAGGAAGTGAAATACCGGTTAGAACACAGAAGACTTAAGCTATTTTGGCAAATATCACGAGTTGAGATAACAGAAGTGGATATGCAGCTTTTCAAAAAAGTAAGGTGATTATTCCTGTGCATCATACTACTCATAAGTGAGCAGAATTATCGTCGGGGACAGCTGAACAACGTTGAAGAAATTAGGTAGTCTGTCAGTGGAAATCCGTCAACATAAAACCGGTCAGTATTGTCCTTTGTACTCACCATGCGATGAATGGAAAAATAGGTTCTCGGATCCAATCAACCAAATTCAAAGCCAATCGGGAATAGCAGTCGCTGGCGCTCTCACGAATTCCAAAACGTGAAACTATGGGTCATTGGTGAGTTTGAATGTTAGGATAAGGACTACAACGCAACACAAATCGAAATGGACAAATGGGACTCCGAGAAAGGCTAGCTGCAGTTAGCCCATCACAGTAACAGATGGAGACCTTGAAAACTACATAAATTCAAGCGGATAAGGGGGACTACCCACTCAATCGTGCATTGACGACGTCTCCTCAACCTGTGAAGTAAAGTTTGCAAAGTCGATATCCATGCTCGGCGGACAGATCAACACGGACCTGATCAACTACGAGAGACGGCCCAAGTGGTTAGAGCGGTCCGTGGTTCGAATCCAACCTTCGCATCTCGACCTCCCCTGTCTAGGCTTGGGCAACCTGGCAGTATCCCAGCCCTCGTGCTTCCTTCGGGTGGCATGGCAGCTAGGCACCGGAAAAGTGCTACAGCTGAGCGCATACAACTACCAAGCTGAAGATAAACTGAACTCACATCTTTCTATGCCTTCTTGAGGGTACTATTCGCCAAGAAATACTGGAAGTAGATGATGGGTGACCTTTGCCCTTTTCAAGACGAAGGGGCAACGGAGTGCTCTGGAACTGCCTTGACACACAGTGAAAATTCACTTTCTTAATAGCAATGTGGCATTTTAATCTAAGTTTGCAATTTCTTCGCTTACGTGTTCTCAGAAACTGAAAGCGTTCTCGTCACCAGGTTAGGATAAACCTTCGCAGTAATTTGTGATGCATTATCGTGACAAGAACACGCGTTTTTAATGACCTGAATAACGGGGAACGAAAACCATCATGCGAGTTGATTGCAGCACTGGCCAAAAATGCATGCCAGAGCGTTCTATGATTGGATCACAGAGGAATTTCATCGCTGTCCTACGATAGGGTTTCGGCCTTAAAACCAAAGCAACCTAATTACTTACTCACACTTGGCCTGACGAAGCTTTTGTGTCAAAAGGGAAACGCTGCCCAGCAATGAATCCACCGACTGTTTAAAAAAGACTCTCTGAAACGACGGCTACCCAGTCGGTCCCAAACACTTTCCGATTGATTAAAGCTGTATCTCATTCTAGACGGTACGACACACCTCGGGTAGCTGCAATCACTCCGTCACGAAGAGACTGGACCTTATCGTGGTGTGGCGGTCTGTGTACCTCGGCGACCCATTGAGCTATACTGGAGAGTGTCCCGCGACACTCACAGAGTCTCTCATACCAGGTTGGTCAATG